CCCCCCCGGTCAGCAACCACCACAAGACTAACGCCGATTTTAAAGTCATCTTCAGGCCTCTTCCCCAGAAAGGAGCCAACAAGCTCCCTCCCCACTTTCTGAAGAGGCCACAGAACACGAGCCACGTTAAGCCACCTTTCAATGACTGTCTGGTCGGACCAAGAAGCCCATTCCACGGCGAACCCGGGTCATAAATTCCCCCTTAATCTTTCAGCACGACCCATTTGGACCCCCTCCCACCACCGCCCGCTCCAGCCCGCCTCACCCTCCTTCTTGGCTTTCGGCGCCATCTTGGGGAGGCAAGAAAGAGGAAACCGCGTGTGCCTCCCACGAGCTTATAGCAGCCAAGTCTCGCGAGATTAAGTATCCTAACTCCGCGGCGGAGAAAGCCGCAAGGCATGTCGGGGGGAGAAGGCCGGCTTTGACAGAGGCCGCAAGCAAGAGAGCATGCGCACTATCCCACTCGGAAGTGTCACGACGTGTGTAGGGCATCACGGGAATTGTAGTTGCCAGCGGTCCTTTTTAATTACGTGTCAGGCACTCGCTCCGCTCGTATTAAAGGTAAAAGTAAAGGTTCCCTTGCTCGAAAGCCAGTCGAATCCGACTCTAGGGTCCTCATCTCCGTTTCAAAGCCGAAGAGCCAGCGCTGTCCGAAGACGTTTCCGTGGTCATGTGGCCGGCATGACTAAACACCAAGGCGCACGGAACGCTGTTACCTTCCCCACCGAAGTGGTACCTATTTATCTACTTGCAATTTCTTGCTTTCGAACTGCTAGGTTGGCAGGAGCTGGAGCTAGAGACGGGAGCTCACTCCGTCTTGCGGCACCCTGGGTCTCGAACTGCTGAACTACTGACCTTCCACAGCCTGCAGTTCAGCGTCTTAACCACTTGAGCCACCGCAGCTCCATTCCACTCGTATTACCTCGCTGTAAACCAGGCTTGCTAGCTCTGGGTTGGGAAACTCCTGGGGATTTGGGGTAAACCCTAGGGAGGCTGGGGCGTGGGGAGGAACCTCAGGTGGGTAGGAGCCATCTCTCTCTAAAGCAGCCATTTCCTCCAAGGGAACTGCGCTCTCTAGTCTGGAGAGACTGTTGCCAACTCCAGGTTGGGAAATTTCAGATTTGTGGGTGGTCCCTGGGGATGAGGAGAGGTTTGGGGAAGGGAAGGACCTCAGCAGAGTATGATGCAATAGAGCCCACCCTCCAAAGCAGCTATTTTCTTGCTTGGACCAGAGTAGCCTGGGCAGCCTGATCTGGTCAGATCTCAGAAGCTAAGCAGGGCTGACCCTGGCAAGGATTTGGAAGGGAGACCTCCAAGGAATACCAGGGCCGAGACACTGAGGCAGGCAATATCAAGTCACCTTTCTGAAACATCCTAGCCCCACTAGGGGTTGCCAGAATTCACCATGATGCACACACACACACACTTGCAAAAATACTTACAAAAAAAGAAGAACAAACCAGCTCTTTTCTCGGGGGGGGGGGGACTGATCTCTGTTGTTTGGAGATCAGTTGTAATTCCGGGAGATCTCCAGGCCCCACATGGGGTTGGCACCCTTGCCCACCAGGCTGGCCCTACTGAATGAATTGCAGAAGCATGTGACTGATGTGGGGGCGTGGTTTGGTGGCAGAGCACCTTGCTCGGCATGCAGAAAGTCCCAGTTTCAAACCCTGGCAACAAGACTAACCTTATTGGACCAATGAGCTGATTCAGTAGAAGGCAGCTTTATGTGTGATGCTGGAGTAGGCCATATTTAAAATGAAGGCAAATAACCACTTGGTAAATAATATTCCACTAAACCAGTGACAAGACATTTGTCTCCAAGCCTGGTGGCAACACATATACCCCAGAGAGCACTACAGTCGGGGTCTCAAAATCGACTGACCCTCCCTGGCCCCAAGGAGGCCAGGCTGGCTACTACCAGGGCCAGGGCTTTTTCAGTGGCGGCCCCATCCTGGTGGAACGAGCTCCCAGAGGAGATCAGGGCCCTGTGGGATCTGTTACAGTTCTGCTGGGCCTGCAAGACGGAGCTCTTCCGCCAGACTTTAATTAGGGAGCCGCCACTGCTATAGAGTCCTGGCCCTTGGTCTTGACATTGAGCCGGCACTGCAGGAAATCACAAGCAGAACAACATCTGAGAAGTTGACATCTATTCTGAAAGCGAGCCATCTTGTATAATTAATTGCTATCAGCACTTTGTGAATCTCTATCTGTTTTAACTGTTGGATTTTTTTTTATATGATTGTATGATGTTTTAACTGTATTTATGTTGAGTGGAAGCCGCCCTGAGCCTGCTTTGCGGGGAGGGCGGGGTATAAATGAGACAAATAAATAAATAAATAAACCCTTGATTTAGTAGCACCCATATGTGGAATACACCAAGGGAGATATCATATACTTGCGCTCTATATTTTTGAGCAATGTAGGTCCTCCGACTCAGGACCTCAGTATATGCCAGGGACTCAAGGTTAATTTGGTAGCGTGCTCAGATATCCTGAGTCCCCTTTGTTTCCCAAGGCTATCAGGCTCAGCTTAGGAGAGGCAAGGAGGGCACATAAATAGTCTCTACTGCCCGGAGATTCATTCAGACTCCCAGCTTATAAAACATAAAGGTTTAATTGAAGAGGTTAAAACAAACAGGGGAGTTTACAAATAAAATAGACAAATCCTAACCCTAACTATGCTAGCTATCCTAAAGAAATGGTCTGTTGTTCCTTTCTCCCTGGAACTCCACCTCCGTTTTGGCTCGGCTACTTGCTTCAGGTTGGCTCTGCCAAAGCTTGCTTGCTTGCAGACACTTTCGGTCTTCTAAGCAGCCTGCCCCCGGACTATACCTCACGGTGACTTGGCTTCTTCAAGGCCACATGCAGCACTCCTGGCATTCGTCAAGTCAAGCTGTCGCCTTCAGTCTCCTGGCTTGCTTGGAACGCGTAGACGTGTGTATTCAGGCAAGTTCATGAGTCTTCCTTCATCATGAATGCATGAATCTGAATTCTGCCTCTAGGACCGGATCTTTATTCTTAGATTCCCCAATCCCCGTCCTAGTCTAATTAGGGATTGCTGCCTTAACCAGCTGTTTCCCATTTACTTAGATCGTACTGATTCTGTCTAAACTTACAGACATTTATCTGAGATGATCCTGCAAGTCAGTATCTCTGGCATGACAGGAGAGAACAAATGGAACACAGTGCCCTCTGCTGGAAAGAGCACTATGGAATGACCTGGAGGAAGGAACATCCTCTAGCAAGGTCTGTAGATACAGGTTCGAGTTCCCCCTCGCAACCAGGGCTTTTTTTGTAGAAAAAGTCCAGCAGGAACTCATTAGCATAATAGGCCACACCCAGCAGCAGAAACTTATTAACACATTAGGCCACACCCCCTGACTGCACCACTCATTAGCATATTAGGCCACATTCCCATGTTACCAGAAGTGTGGTTATCCAGCCACACCCACCTTTTACTTCTTATTCTGTTTACCTTGTTTGTTGTCAAAACCCAGGGCTTTTTTTGTAGCGGGAACTCCTTTGCATGTTAGGCTACACACCCTGAATGTACCCAATCCTAATGAGTTCCTGCTGTTGTGTGTGGCCTATTATGCTAATGAGTTCCTGCTAGGTGTGGCCAACTTGGGAGCCAGCCGGAACTCTGTTCCTGTGCGTTCCTGCCCAAAAATAGCCCTGCTTGCAACCAAAACCAAACACAAGCCCAGTAGCACCTTAAAGACTAGCATAAGTTTCCTGTTGCCAGGCTCACACATGAGGAAGGAAATACTGCTACTACTCCAGCCACATCGGTCACATGCTTCTACAGTAGGAGACAGTCTGATGAACCGGCCAAGACCTCTCCCAGACAAGGCTCATGTGCTGGGCAGGGTGGGGCTCAGGAGCACCAGCCTGTTGTCAGGCAAGGAGAATGCAAACAGCAGCAACAAGGAAACCCACCACTGCACACGGCACAGAAGACAGCCATGGGCAAAGGTGACCCTATATCATTCTTGGGCTACAGACTCATATCCCACTAAGGCATAGTGGAAACTTTGCTGCATAGAACATAATTGCACTGGCACAGAAAGGGGGGCATCAGAGAAATATTGGGGGAGGACCGTGGCTTAGTCAGTATCCTAAACCGTGGTCATGCCGGCATCCCCATGGAACACATTCAGATACAAGTCCCAACTGCCCACCTTCTACTGGGCCTCGAAGCCCCCACACAACTGAAGACACTAACTATTAAGTCTACAGCCAATCAAATCCCTCCTAAGTCCTAGAGAATGCTGAGCACAGCTCAGATGAGAGGGTGCGCAGCATGGAGCTATTGCATTGTGGGCTCTTGTTGCATGTGCTTAGAAAATGCACAGGGGAGTTTGGTGATGGAAACCCCCACAGAAGTGGTATTTTGCACAAGCAGGCAAGGAAGTGGACAAACATTCCTGAGCCATATCACTAACCCTGCTTTGCTCAGATTCCTTACAGCAGTGATAGTCACTTGGTGGCTCGATAGCACTGTACCCCAATGTGGCATTTCCCCCATGTTCCACAAAAGTGGGCAAAACCATTCCCCAGTTGGGCTTGTGGTCAGCAGGTGGTTTACACCTTGGAATAGCCAATGCTGGAGAATGGATGAGCTGTGAGCCTCACTGAACTGACAGCCTTGTGCCACTGATGGAACTAAGGGGCCAATCCTCTCCAACCCCACCCCTCTTTACTGGCTTTGTTTGATGTAGTGGTTAAGAGCGGCGGACTCTAATCTGGGAGAACCCGGTTTGATCCCCCACTTCTCCACATGTAGCTGCTGGTGTGACCTTGGGTCAATCACAAGTTCTCTCAGAGCTGTTCTCTCAAGAGCAGTCCTCGAAAGAGCTCTCTCAGCCCCACTTGCCTCACAGGGTGTCTGTTGAGGGGAGTGGAAGGGAAGGAGATTGTAAGCCGCTCTGAGACTCCAAGTGAAGGGTGGGGTATAAATCCAATCTTCTCCTCCTCCTCCTCTTCTTCGTCATCGTCGTCGTAGTAATAGTATTACAGCACCTGAGGCAATGCTCCCTCTAAGCTGTGGAGTCGTGTGAGCAAAAATTCTACTTTGTAAGCTACTGGCATTAAAATCATGAGCAAGCGATTTGGCTACTCCATAAATTAGTTTGCTCTGGAGCCATCCTTCCTGAGCTAAGACAAAAATCTGTGAGCTGGAGGCTAAAAAACTGTGAGCTAGCTCACGCTAACTCAGCTTAGAGGGAATACTTCCTGGGGAAAAGAGCAAGCTGGCCACAATGGGGCAGCAGTTTTACTCCCGGTTTTCCCAGGGCCATGGGACACTCCCCTGGGCACTCTCTCACCTGGTCTACCGTGTC